GAAGTAATCGAAGCTGTAAATGGTTATTTTGAGGAGCTTGACGAATCAGTCTATAGAGATGGCATTAATAGACTGGAACACCGCTATGAGAAATGTATCAGCCTTGGAGGAGATTATGTTGAGAAATAAAAAAAAAAAAATTTTAAAAACCTTGTTTTTCTTGGTCAGGCCGGAAACTTATCAATCCACCCTCGTAAAATCGAAAAATCACCTGAACAGAAGTTGTTGGGTTGCAAGGGGGTTGCCTGATTTTGTAATCTGGTACATGGTCCGGGATCCCACTGAGGTCATGTGATGATATTAAGAGGAAAAACATATATCTTAAATATGGTTACTAGGAAAATTCCTGGCATATGGGTCTTGTCTGGGTCCCATAAACATGCTTTATGTATATGGGGTGAGATTTATATGGACAGGTTAAACTTCTGTAGAATTTAATTCGAAATTTCGATTCAGATAATCAGTAGGTAAATTTATGAGTTACCTATAAGGTAAACTACACAAGCTCAAGAAAATTTCTACGTTGTAGAGAATTTACACTATGTTTGTGAAAGCAACCGATATTAATCTAATGCTGGGTAATTTTCGTAAAAAAAAAAGGACAATGGTCATCATCATAAGGTCATAAGACTGATTGGACACACACTTCCACTCTTTCCTATCCTGAGCTAATCTTCGCATTTCCTTAAAACTAGAACAACTCACATTCTTAACTATTTGAGAACAATAATCTAATCTAGGTCTACCTTTACCCCTTCTAACTCCCGTTTCTGCCTCTAATACGTATGTCTCTGACTAGCCCTTCATGCCTGAGAAGGTGTCCTACCAACCTAACTCGCCTATTTCTTATTGACTTCCATAGAGTCCTCTTTTATGCTATTCTTTTCTAACCTTTTCTATCCACGGTATCCTCATCATTCGCCTGTAATACCACATTTCGAGCGTTTCTAACCTATTCTTTTACGGCCGCGCCCACTGCCCATGTTTTGCACCCTTACAGTCTCGTGCATCAAACATACACCTTTAACAATGTTTTTCGAATCTCTAAATTATTCGTTCACGAGCATAGAAGTGACTTCTTTCTATTGAAGGCGACTTGACCCTGCGCTATCTTCTACTTTATATCTCTACTACTCCTTCCGTCCTGACTTATTTGACTTCCTAGATATCTAAAATCAGTCACTTCTTCTAATTTTTAATCTCCTATTTTTTCGTCTTTTATTTATTTTCAATGACAATGGTATCAACTGTAAAATATAGACTGTACGCAGGGTGTACCTCCGGGATTTAAATCTTGTAAAAAAGTTCATTCGGTGTCATTACACTCCTAAGTACACAATCAAAGTGTTGGCACGGAGTCTTATTACATTACACACGCCTAAAATGAATGCACACTAGAGGCCTGCTTCTTATTTTGTAGTTCTGAATCACCAATTGGAGAATAGCAAAGTGACGTGCCTTCTCTTCTACTTAACAGTTCCATGCTCATGGTTAATTTTGTTAATTGGCGTCATGTTTTCGCGGGCACATTACAATATGTATAAACGCGTCTCGTAAAAGTGCCCACTTCTTACGAGACAAGATGTACGTACCATTAGAAAATTTGAACTTTTCGTGAAGATTCTTCAACAAACGGAATGAAAATTAAATGTTCTTTACAATGTACAGAACGATTCATAATAAATGGAAAATATAACTCATCAAAATAAATGAGTTAGCAAAATATATTATGACTGAAGAAATAAATACTGGGTATTGTTATGTATTCAAAAATTATTTTCAATTTTAATCTTTTCATATATGATACAGTCGAAGTTTAATTTCTATAGATCGAAATGTTTTCTAACTCGAACAATTTTTTATTTCCTTGACATACATATCGTTTTATAACCACGTGCTTCAAACTCTTTACTCCATTCGTGTAACTCAATTTTTTTCTCTAAGTGGAGATTCGGGTGTGAATTTGACATTATAAATTTCCTATTTATTCGGAATATCTCTTAATTTTCTTCGGAAAAAGTTAGGATCAAGGGTTATTTTAGGAAAAGGCAACACGAACGCAGTAGATAATTAAATAGTATATTGCCTAACATCGAGATCTGAGATTTTAAAGTTTCTTAGAAATGGGCTTAGCAACGTAATATGTATACAGAAGCGATATTTTTAAAATAAAAATTAAAAAGTGACGGTAAAGGAGAATTTTTTTTACTCGAATTTTCCCTAATTCGAACATTTTAGGTTCTAGTTAGGGAAGTTCTTATTGTTTTATTTATTTATTACCTTAATCCCTTTTCAAACATTTTATATTATTTCAGGATATGCGATGAAAAAATATAGTAATTTCGTTAATCGGATAATGCCTAGTTCCCTCCCATATACCTGTTTTTAATTAAATTAGTTAAAATTTTCGGTATGTCGAATTCCCTCCTAATTACACATGAATTGCCTCTCAACGGCTCATCCTCATATTTATCAATTTGCTAACGTTTTACTAGATTTTCAATGTGAAATTTATGTTGAAATACGAAGTGTTTCATCTAATTTTAAGAAATTGTTAACAAGACAAACTAAAACTAATAAAGTTTTCTTTGCCTCAAAAAGCTAGACACACACATAAGTAGTCGTTAACTTAATTATCGGAGCTGATATGACCGGGGGGGAACTGGGCTAGTACCCGGGAGGGAATTCGACTTTCTATGTTTTAACCAAAACTACCTGCGGGAGGGAATTCGGCATCGGCACCAGTACTTTTGGGCACATGAAAGGGGCGGCATTTATAGGCGCTAATAACGCCCTAGTTACGCCACTGATCTCATAGGATTTTTTACGAAGTGTTTGCACGAAGCAAAACATTATCAAATAACAAAAATAGTTACCGTCAATGCGTCAACAAGTAGTGGTCCGCCAATGGTTTTTAAATCGTCAAAATTTCGTCCAACTGTTAAAAATGTTGATCAGGCTTGGTCTAGACCCGCCATTCCCAACATGGGGCGCAGTCCCCACCGGTGGGGCATGGCAATATTTTGGTGGGTAATGGGCAGGACGTGCACCCTTCGGCTGACTATACGAAAGACTATGAGGTAATTCGAGAATGAGTTATTAACAGTGAATTGTTTTCTAGTGAATCTGTGGATGTGAATGTTCGTCTTAATACATACATAAAAATATTTGTATGTACATGTGTAATTGGTACACAAGATATTTCCTGTTTCCCCAGGCCTTTTANCTTAGAAACTGTATAAAATTAAGTAAAGACTGGCTATACTTGCTTTTTGAAAATTTTATGAAAATTTCATAATTATGTAATTTTTATTATCCGATAATTGCCCAGCAAAACCATTATCCAGTGCATTTCTAGTTTAACCAATAAATGTAATATTGCTGATCACTTCGCAAAAGAGTGACCAAAGATCAGAAAACTTATTAATCGTTAAAAGAAAGCGGAAGTGTCAAAGTTTAGACACTGATAAGATGACACTGTTTTAAATTAATATCCAAGTATAGTTAAGTAAATTTGCATTAAAAGTGAAGTAGATATAACGCCTACCAAATTGAAATAATAATTAAAAACAGTAGTTTAAAAATTTGCAGCAACAATAGAAGAAAATTAAAGCAGGTAGAATATCGTTAAATAAATGCCCAACTTTAAATAATAAATAATAAAAAAATAAATTAATGCCTTCAATTGCTAACAATATGGGAATATTGTTCAAAGAAAATCCAAACATATTCAAATTGGTACAATCAACTACAAATACTACAAATACTGGTACCACACTTTTTCGTACTCTAAATGAATTTTCAAACGGTAATATCCTGGTTTTTCCTGTAAATTTCTTAATTTTTATGGTACTAAAACGTATTTCTCGACAATAACTATTTTCCGTTAAAATTTAGGTACGAATGCATACAAAAGGTTATTTTATTAAAATCATATTTATTCGCTCATACAATTTTTCTCATTAATTTGAGGTAATTTGTAGTGGATAAAAATTAAATAAATTTTCACATTAATTTTAAAAGATCTATTTTTTTTTTAATTTCGTAGAAAACTTTCATAGAAAAGGATAAAATGTCGACTTATAAGGAATATACATATAAAATAATCACAAGTGAGAAATGATGATGTGCTATCTGCTATCGTGACCCTTACCTCACACAACGCGACTCCCGTCTCCAGCCGGTCCATGAAGTTGTCAACATTTATACGAAGATGAGGATATAAAGTCTGGAACCATTCCGCCAAATCTTCTTTCATTGCGTACAAATATTCTTCACTCGATTTAAAGGGCCTAAAGGGCCTAGCTTCCAGCACAACGCCCGACATTTTTTTTTTTTTAACACGAACTTGGGTTTTACAGTAAATATATTTTAATTTAACAACAAACTTTCCACAGTCGTCCGAACCGCAAATACCTAATACGATTTTTCAAAAGCGACAACAAAATTTACGCGAAATCATAATTATTATTGTTGTCTCAATTAAATAAATGACAGGTAGATATAAAAAAAATGTATTTGCACCAAACTTTATCGTAATAATAAAATTAATATCGTCAGGTAGAAGTCGCGTACCGTAAGATAGTCGATTTGTCGTGCGTGGGTGACAGACAGAGCGATAGAGAGAAGGAACGCGGCCCGAATGCAACAAGATCCGCGAGTAAACTGAAATAACGACGACAAACGCAGCGGTTAAACGCTGTTAACAATGAAAAAGCGCCGATAAGAGAACAAGTCCGCGACGGACGCGGCGTCCGCGAAACGTAAGATCCCAGTCGGTCATGGAACGTGTAACGAAGCGTTTGTTTTCATCTTCACTTTCGCTTGTTCTTATTATTACTCTCGATGTTATTGTTGTTCTTGTTGCTGCCATTTCATACTAAGTCATCGAATATACCTGAAAGAAATATCAATTATTTATTATGATATCCTTATTGTTTTATTTATTTATTACCTTAATCCCTTTTCAAACATTTTATATTATTTCAGGATATGCGATGAAAAAATATAGTAATTTCGTTAATCGGATAATGCCTAGTTCCCTCCCATATACCTGTTTTTAATTAAATTAGTTAAAATTTTCGGTATGTCGAATTCCCTCCTAATTACACATGAATTGCCTCTCAACGGCTCATCCTCATATTTATCAATTTGCTAACGTTTTACTAGATTTTCAATGTGAAATTTATGTTGAAATACGAAGTGTTTCATCTAATTTTAAAAAATTGTTAACAAGATTGCATCAAAAAGCTAGACGCACACGTAGTCGTTAACTTAATTATCGGAGCTGATATGAACGGAAGGGAACTCGGCTATCCATATTTTAACCAAAACTACCTGCGGGAGGGAATTCGGCATCGCCGCGTTAATCATTTCAAAATTCTAAAATCATATTCATATATCATTTGCTACAGCCTATCAGCCACATATTATAAGACAACGCTGTTGATTTTTTATAGACTCATTAGTGTATAATTGTATTTAATTATTATTGTTTATTATTAACTCGAATGCTATGTAAGTGCTGTATCGCTAGTATATCTCCTTTATTTTACAACTTCTTTTGAGTAGAAAGTGAGATTTTAAACAGCGTGACGCCCAATTATTTCATTCAAGTAATTTGTGAAATTCTCCTCAAAACTTTTTTGATTAAATTGTTGATAAGTACCGCTTTACGCTGAAACATAGCGATAATTATCTCTAATACTACACATTTGGTAAAGTAACGATAATTACGCAATTACCTAGTAGCTCTTAATTACCCATGAGAAGTTTAAAAACTCTTATATAATTGAATTATTCGATATTTTTTACCTGTTGCATGTCAAAATTGCAAAATTCATTTTTAAATGGCAATAATTATGACTTAGTATTATTAAACATTTTAGGTATTTTAATTTTTAGGAATAAAATTTCATTTTTAATTGTGAACCGCTAAACAGTTACAAAATTAATACTTAGAAACTGTATAAAATTAAGTAAAGACTGGCTATACTTGCTTTTTGAAAATTTTATGAAAATTTCATAATTATGTAATTTTTATTATCCGATAATTGCCCAGCAAAACCATTATCCAGTGCATTTCTAGTTTAACCAATAAATGTAATATTGCTGATCACTTCGCAAAAGAGTGACCAAAGATCAGAAAACTTATTAATCGTTAAAAGAAAGCGGAAGTGTCAAAGTTTAGACACTGATAAGATGACACTGTTTTAAATTAATATCCAAGTATAGTTAAGTAAATTTGCATTAAAAGTGAAGTAGATATAACGCCTACCAAATTGAAATAATAATTAAAAACAGTAGTTTAAAAATTTGCAGCAACAATAGAAGAAAATTAAAGCAGGTAGAATATCGTTAAATAAATGCCCAACTTTAAATAATAAATAATAAAAAAATAAATTAATGCCTTCGTAATACCACATTTCG